ACAATAGGATCTTTATTAGAAACAAATTTATTACAATAACAACAAGCAAGTTTTACATTATTAATTGTGTGAGCTATTTTGTTATCAATTCTGTCTAAAGTTGGTTTGTTATCATAAGTGAATTTACAATTGGAATAGATACAAATTCCATTATTAATTATTTCTTTAAAATATTTGAAATCTTTATTTTTAATGTTGTTTTTTAAAATATTTTTACATCTCTTTTTGCAATATTATCTTGTGTTCTATATCTATAAACAATATTTTTAAAATCATGTTCAAATAGTTTGTGTATTTCGTCATCTTTGATTTTAATAGTGTAAAGTTAAAAAAAATTAAAGATGTCTTTAATATTAGATAAAGTTGTTCTTAATAATTGTTCTTTTATGTTTTCAGTTCTGAGTTGTTGATAAGGAAATACACCTTTTTCTTTTATTTCAGACTTTCCATATGATTTACTTGCTTGATCTAAACTACATGGAGATACATAATTCAAAACATCTTTTAAATTAATATTGTATGATTTTTTTATATTTTTAACGGTGGTTTAAATGCTTAATTTTTTTGTTAAGTAAATTAGAAAAAAATCAGGTTCGTTATTTGATTTTTTTCGAGTAAATGTTTATAACAAAAATGAGGGTTAAGCAAAAAAAATAATTTAGAAATTGTTTGTCTAAAAAATCGGGGCATCATGGAGCTTTGCTTTGACTACGTCATCAGTATCGTCACCTTCAGTTTTATTAAAAGTGTATTTAATGGTCAACTGTTTACATGAATTTAAAGAACCAAGTATATTAATATTATCCGAATCAATGTAATTAAGATGATTAACAATAAACTTAGTATCGAAGTTTTCACTGTTCCATCCTCAAATATTTACATTTTTACTCCAATTATCAATTAATTATAAAAGATCTTCATTATTTCTGTATTCTAAATATTTGAAATGAATGTTCTAATGTTAGCTTTCAGATTATAGTATCCAAGTTCACAAATGTATTGAATGGAATCTTCAACGAAATTATTATTTTCAACTACATTTCCATTCTCTATATTGTATTTACAGAAATATTTTGAAGTATTTTTGTCTTCTTAATTATCAGAAACAGCAAGTAAAAATTCGGATAAAATAGCATTTATACTTTCTTGTTCAGAAGTTTTTTCTCCAATAAAATCGGTTTCAGTAGTTCCAAAATAATATGTAATATAATATTTCATTGGAGTATATTTTAAATTGTGAGCACAACAATAAGTATATAATTTGTCTAAAAATATTCTTGGACAATAAGGTAAACTAAGTTCAGTATTCAGTTTGTATTTAATAAAACCATTACATTTATATTCATGATTAGATAATTTATATCTTCCATCTTTATTATTTTAAAACATTCAAGACCACATTTAGAACAGAATACGTATTCAGTTAGTTTATAATATCAAAACAAAACATAACACGCTCATTACCATTTTCAAATACACATGAAATTAAATTCATTCTTCCTTCACATTTTTCTAATTTATATTTATGAATTTAATTTAATTCAATTGTATTTATTTAGTATCAAATTAATATTTTAAACAGATAGAATGAAGAATTTACAGAATGTTTCTATTTTAATTTCATATTGTAACACGTTAAATGTTTTGTTCTTCATGTCAAGTATAAATAATTAATTATAAAAAGTTTTAGCTAAAGCATTTAAAGTATTGTATCTACGAAAAGAAGATTATTTTTTTCATTTGTTTGAGCTTTATAATAAACTAATGCTTTGAACATACATAAGTTATCAGATTAGGTGTTTGCTATTATAATATTTCTATAATATTTAGAATAGATTTATAATTCTGAATTAGCCAATCCAGTTTCTCCAAAAGTATATTTAACGTTAATCATGTCTGTAATTCCTATGTTAGTTTGTTTTGAACTTATTAAATTATTCTTTGCAAAATCTGCTTTACGAATAATTTCAGTTTCAATATTTTTAACACAATTATTAATATCATCATCGTTTTTGATTATAGAATCTTTTGTAATAGATAATTTAATATTTTTAACTTTTCTTAATTTCAAAGTTATAAACTCTTTTCAATAATTCGTCATTGCCTTCGGTTAAAGGTAAAAAAAATGCAATTTTTATTTAAGATTTTTAAATTTTAAATATTTTTATTAGTTTTGGTTATATGAAAAATATAATTTTTTGATGTTAATTTGAAACAAAAAAGTGTATGACCTCTTTATTATTTTGAAATTTGTTTCATCTCTTTGTTATTTTTTTATCCATAAAATCGTCATTATTTTTACTATTTTTAGAAACAAAGAAAATCAGTTTTAACACTAAAAATAAAAACAATTGTTTCACATTTTTATTATGATCAAAATATAGAGTAAAATGTATTTCATTTTTTTATTGTAATACATTTTGGATATGATTGACGCATTTTAGTTTAATTTAATAAAGTAATTTGATTAATTGTTAATAGGAAAATAGTTGATCATCAACAAATTTTGTTTTATTTAAACGTAGTATTTTAATAAATACAGATAATAAAATAAACATCAAAATTAAACAAATTTGTTGCAAAAAATAAATAATTAACATTTAAAGTTTTTTTGATATTATGAAACGTCAGTCTGTATATGATTGTTGTTGGAGTGGCTTATTTGAAAAATACATATATGTTTAAACAATTTTTGATCGAAAAAGTTGTAATGTTTTATTCTTTTTAAAGATAAATGTGTTGATACAAATTAAATAACTGGAGAAACTTTGACAAAATCAATTATTTGATTCCCAATTAAAGTACAAATTGATTATAATTATCAAAAGGTATAATTTTTCGAAAAACATATAAATATTTTTATAAATAAATTGCGTGTAACAACTAATTTAAATATATATCTCGACCTAACAAAGTCTAAAAAACATAAATATTAAAACATGCATCGATAAACGAATTACATAGCAATGTGATATAATTAACTTATATTATCAATTTAATTTTAAATTGCAAAATATTCGAAACTTTAAAAGTATCATTTATAATTATCAAAACATTAAAAATGTTATCAAAATATAAATATTATGCGGGTAAACTCCAATGTGCACAAATCAAAATACACTTTATCTGTTTTGAATATTAAAAAGTTTGATCAATCAATAATTGGCCAGTTCATAGTTGTTTCTATAATTCAATTAAGCCATTGTAGTCATATTTAAGAAAAAAGAATAAAATAATATATTAACATTTGATAAAAATGATTTTTCATAAAGTATGTCATTTTGTTTGGAAAAAAATAGCTTAAAAAAGAAGTACATTAAAAGTTAAAGAAAACGGTTGTACAAATAACTAAATTACATAAATATTGCAAGACTAATGACAATAAGTATTTTTTAATATTTTTAATTTTTATCATTTTTTTCACAAAATCGCAACTGAAAAAAATGACACTTTTATGAAACAATTTTATTTAAAATGAAATATAAAAACTACATGAAATTAACCTTAAATATCAAATATAAATTATAAGAAAATTAAATATTAATATATTATTATTATGGTATTTCTAATGAAGTGATTAATAAGTTTTTAAACATATTTTTAGTTTAATTTTAATATAATTTATTAAATGTTTAGATTAAAAAATATAATATAAGGTTCAGTTTTTAATACATACTTTAAACAATTAATTACTGATTAGTTTACTATTGTATCTAAACTATAGATTGTTATTAAGTTTATTAACCATAAATACTAATAAGTAATCAATAATTTATATCCACTTTAAACCCATTTCTAATAGTTAATAAATTGTATTTATCAGCCACTTAAACATAATAAATAACATAAAAAACAAAAAAAAAACATAAATCGCGCGTAATTTGCATTCTCTAATTGTTAATTTATAAGGACTATGTATAAATGAATAAAATTGACAAACGGTAATGGGAATCCGCAACAACTCAACTCAACACAAACGCATCTCTGTTGTTTGTGTTGAGTTTGAATATTTGAACTGGTTTTTCTTAATTTTAAGTTTTCATTAAAGTTTTTTGAAAAATTAATGGTGTACAAAAAACCCATTTAATTTTTCAACAATTTAAGTCATTTTAATAGTTTATATAGATATAATTATAATAATATGTATAGTTTGTTGGTGGTGTTTTTATGAATATTTTTATTAAAATTATTTAATTTAAGTTAAATAATTTTTTAATTTGTAACAAAACAAATATTAGAAATATAACAGAATTTTATTATAATTGATAATGATTGTTATGATAAAAAACACATTCTGTAACTTGTTTGTATAATGTTACAGTATGATATAAAGCAGTGATACATTATAGTACTGTTGATGTAGATTCGTTTGCATATCAAAATTTTTGTTTTTATTTACAACTTCATAAAAATGATATGTGTCAAAAAGACATATCTTGACTTTTTTATTGTTTTTGAACTTAGTTTTAAAATATTTATATTAACCGCACAACCGAGCTATAATATAGCATCTTCACGAAAACATAATTGAATTCTACTCGTGAGTATTATACATATAAAATAAAATATTTTGATTAATAAAATAAACATTTGTCTCGAAAAAGCAAATCTTTAAAAATAAATATTTTTACTATACATTACTATATTATAGAATTTGCTTTGTGAAAATTTAAACTATTTTTAGAAATTGGGTTTTGATAAACTATTACAAGTCAAAAAATATAGTTTTAATCATTAAACTATATATATAGTTTATATAATAGTATATTTGTATTTTGAATAAACACAAATTTGAAACACTGTTATAATACACTGAAATTACGTATAAATCCGGGTCATTTTTGTTCTTTGATAGTTCATTTTAAATCAAACTCAAATCATTTTTTATTTTTGAATAAAAAACACCAAAAAGAAAGAAACTATAATAACCCGACTTTTTATTTTTTACATGTTCTGGAAGTAAAAAACATAATAATTTGGGTAAAAGAAGAAAAAGGGAAATGGGTGCGGGTTTTTCTCCAGGTGTGGGTTTCTCGCCTCACTTTACCAAAAAAATCACACTCTTTAAGTTGGAGCACACCAACATGAAATTTGTCGAAATGGCAGATGGTCTGATAATTCACACCAAAAACGAAGGATTTGTGATCACCGACGATGACTTGGACTATGACAAAATTGATGTTAACAAAGAAATTAAAAATCTGTTTTCTATTGGAAACACAACAAATTACAAAGTCAAGATTCAGTTCACCACTAAAACAAATGAGAAGTACATAATTTCATTTGACCCACAAATAATAACAATTCCTCCAAATTATGGGTGCGAGTTCAGTCTCTTTTTGACGCCACTGTGCAACTCGAATATGGAAAGTAGTTTTGTGATCAATTACGTCATCTTCGCAAATGACGCCAAAACATGTATACATCAGATGGACTTTAAGTACACCACCAAAATATCAACACGACTTGATCCAGACAGTCTGATTGAAGAGAAACAACTTGGTGAAGGCTCTTTTGGTGTTGTCTACAAAGGAAAATTTGGAGGGAATACAGTTGCTATCAAAAAGATGAAAAACGCCACCAACTCAAAAGACCAAATGGCTGAATTTGAGAAGGAAGTGTCAATGCTTGATAAATTTAGGTGTGATTATATTGTCCACTTCTATGGCGCCGTTTTCTTTCCCAACAAAATATGTATGGTCACTGAATTTGCTGAGTTTGGGTCTGTGTGTGATATGTTGAAAAACAAAGACGCAAAAGATGTGGATATGAAATTGCGTATCAAAATGTGTTTTGATGCAGCAAAGCGGTTGTCTTATTTACATAAAAATGGAATACTTCACAGAGACATCAAGCCAGACAATGTATTATTATTTTCATTGAATCCAAACGATGTTGTGAACGGCAAATTGACTGATTTTGGATCAAGCAGAAATATTAACATGATGATGACTAACATGACATTCACAAAAGGAATCGGAACACCAAAATATATGGCACCTGAAGTGTTAAATAAAGAAAAGTATAAAATGCCTTGTGATATTTATTCACTTGCAATTTCATTCTTTGAAATCATTGGATGGGCAGAACCATTTCCTAAAAAGAGGTTCGAACATCCATGGGAAATAGCAGACTTTGTTGGGAAGGGAAACCACCTCACTTACAATGAAAACTTTTGCATTGAGACACAAGAAATGATAAACTCTATGTGGGATATCAAACCTAAAAAACGAATTTTATGCGACGAAATTGTGAAAAGACTCGAAACCATTTTTTCCAAATTCCAATAAAAATGTTTGAGAAAGACAAAAACAATTAACTCGCTGTTTTTAAAATTTGTTTTGAATATTTCAAACCTTGTGTTTCAAACTTTTTAACAAATTTTCTTGTATAAAACACAAAATAATGTTCAAAGTGTTATGAAATATACAAAAATTTAATTAGAGTACCGTGAAAAATCACTGCGGCGTGAAATATTACTGCGAATTGTTAGATGTTTTTAAAAATAACAATGACACTTATAAATTTATTAAAAAAATAAAAAATGCAATATATCCACCATCTGATTGGTATTGTTTTGGTAAGGCAATAAGATGTTATTCCGAAGCTTCACATTATATTTTGAATAATTTTATACAGAAAAATGGAAGTTGTGGCAATTGTTGATTTAATAATTCACACTTTAAAAAAAGATAAAGATAAAACTTTGAACCATAGCAGAGATAGGAATCTCATATTTCCATTTATTTACAAAATACTAAAAATGGAAATTATATTATTTTTGTAAAAAATAAAATCCGACATAAACCAGGGTTCGGGAAATTTTGATATTTTACATGCCAAAATATTTTTTTATGTCTAAAAAAATTTATCTTATAATTGCATTTTTTCTTCTTTAAAAAAAGGAACTAATCTTAAAAAGATGTCTTAAGTAAAAATAGGTTAGTGGTAGCCAATATATTTATAAACAATAAATCTCGTATAAAAACACAAAAAATTCCAAACCCCGTAGTATACGTTATTTTTAAGAAATATTGTGCAAAAAAGTGTAATTTTATCGAATTTTTGAAAAGGCTGATCCATACATTA